CACTGAGCGGATCTGGTGGACGGTTGATCAACTTCAACGCGGAATACGACGCCTTACCGGACATCGGCCATGCATGTGGTCACAACCTGATCTCAACTAGCAGCATTGCGGCCTTTCTTGCTCTTTCGTTTGTATTGAAGAAATACGGAATCCCTGGCCGAGCTCAGCTGCTGGGCACACCAGCCGAAGAGAATGGAGGCGGAAAGGCCAAGCTGATCGATGCTGGGGCTTATAAAGGAGTAGACATCTCTCTCATGGCGTATGTACTCACCTCTGACAAGCACTGGGATTCTCGCGTTCTAATTATCTATAAAGTCATCCTGGTCCCCAGAAAATCTACCCGGACGAGGAGGCGTGTGATGGAATCGCTGGCACTTTAATGAATGCCCGCAAAAACATTCATTGTAAGTTCCTTGGTCCCTTCCTCTTTATCCCAAACTGATAAGTGGTTTCAACACAGGCGAATTTACGGGAAGAAACGCCCACGCTGGCGGCAACCCCTGGGAAGGAATTAATGCTCTTGACGCCCTGGTGTCATCGTATAACAATGTTGCTGTTCTGCGTCAACAGCTACTTCCAGATCAACGCATTCATTGTGCGTTCCTGGACACACCCAAGGTGGCTAATGTCATTCCGGCGTACACCAAGGCATTCTGGCAGGTTCGTAGCCCTACCCTCAAGGGACTCAACACCCTTATTGGCAAAGTGCGCAACTGTATCGAAGCCGGTGCGCTTGCCACTGGTTGCCAAGTCAAGATTGAAGAGTGAGTAGTCCCTGGTATCCAAGAACGTGCCATTGGCTGATAGATGTGCTTCAAGGGATGAGCTCTATACCGATGTCCGACTGAATGACACTCTGTGCGAGCGGTATTCCGCACACATGGGACGATACAATCGCAAAGTACTCCAGCGCCACGATAAAGTTCTGACAGGATCCTCGGATATCGGTAGGTAGTTCCGATGAAGCCCATTGAGCGGTTGAGCTGACTTCAATAGGCAATGTCAGCTACGAGACTCCCACACTACACACAATGTTCGCCATTCCAGCACCCCCAACATCATTCCCCCATCATCCGACATTTGCAGCTGCGGCTGGAACGGATGATGCTCACGCTGAAGCACTTATTGTTGGAAAGTCCTTGGCGCTCATTGGGTGGGATATGGTTGTGGAAGCTGCCATGTTTGATACTGCGCAGCGGCAGTGGAAAGATGAGATTGCAAAGGAGTAACCGTATAAATCAGAGTAGAGGCAATTCAATGTATCAGTTGTATACAAAAGAGTATACAAAGAGTAGGTTTAAACCGTGCACGTCATGAATGACTCAGCTTTCCCCGCGTTATCGGCCTTATCGGCTTCGGCACTTCTCAGACCCTCAATTCTTCCCATCTTCATCCAACCTTCAATCTTTCATGTCTGTGTGGAGTGGTGGGGGATTGTCAATCCATGTCCGTGCAATCCGGGCGTAACGGCCCACGTTCGAAGAGTGGTGAGTTCTTTGTCCCGGTTTCCCATGAGCCGGCTAATACCTTTCCCCGTAGGCTGTAGTACCTGTCGCCGTCGCAAAGTGAAATGCGGCGAAGAAAAACCAGTCTGCGGACGATGTTCCGCCTTACGTCTCAATTGCGAATGGGGAGTTCCAGTCAAGCGTGGACGGAGTACACAGATCAGACATCTCGAACCGGCACCCAGTGCGCCCGAACAGTGGCCCTTGCCCAAGTTCGAAGATCTAGTCGATACCCAACAGGATCTCCTTTATACAAGTCTTTCCCCCGTTTCTTGGGCAGGCGATTTTGTGCCCTTCGACACAACCCAATTGACGTCGTTCCGTTCCACGCCCATTGCGACCCCGATATACCCGTCGTTAAATTTCAATAATGTCGCTTGCGCCAATTCCCTGGCGCTCAATGCGCTTGATCTTCAGTACTTTCAGTACTTTCCTTCGTCCTCTCTCGTTTATTACTATATGAAAGGTTGGAAGTGGAGCAGTTTTTGGTGAGTTTCTCCACTTGCGCGGCAAGGGGTGACTGTTCTCACCCTGCATCCGGAGTTTCAGCCTGCTAATTCGTTGTATATTCCATAGTCATCTATATCAAGGCCCTGCTGCGTCAAACAAAGTAATAATGCGGATGATTCTCGCGCTATCTGCGTGTGACATGCATCGCAATGGCTTGGTTGTGCGTTCTCCGGGTCGACCGACAGCAGACGACCATGGGCGATATCATTATAGTCTGGCAGTGAAAGAGTTCAGGCAACTTCTCGAGACACCGCGACAAGTGTCTTTGGATGAAGTCGAGACAGTCTTTGCGACAGTCTTCTTGATGATAGCTTGGGAGTGGCAGTTTGGACACTCAGTGCGTCACGTAAGGCTAGCCCCTTCTAATATCCTATCATCCCCAATGAGCTTTCTACTGATACTCCCATAGTTACAACTTCATCTCCAGGGTGTGCGCTCACTTCTGGAAACGCACCCCCAACTTTTCCGCATCAAAGATGTGAATGATATGCTACTATCTCCTGGGCCTAGTGGCCCGTCTGATGAGCCTGGGACCGTTGCCAAGATGTCTTTCATTCCTGAACAATTTTTACTGTGGATATTGTGAGTCTATTCCCAAACCTGAATGTTGATTACACCGCTCACATCATACAGATATATTGACTCCAGCTGCCGCCCGATGGGTTTGACCGAGTCTTTAAATGATTATGTTACACAATCTGGGAATCCCGCTCTGCAGCCAGATCATCTGCATCGTTGCGCTCGTCTCTGGGGCCGATGCTTCTGGGGCGAGCAGTATCCAGATGAGGAGGTTCTGGATGACATTGAGAACTACCGGGCCCTGGAACTGCTGCATGACGGATTCTGTCTACGCCATCGAACTTGGAAATCCCTTGTGGACTCCGCGGCTGGTACCGCCGACTCTGCAGATGTCATATTTCGTGAAATCCTCACTATCCGAGAGGTGAGTGCAATAACATAAGAGGTCTGTGATCTTGATTGACTGTGTTAGAAATTCTCCGACCTTTTCGTCACTGCGAGATTCGCCGCCGGTGTCTCTGCTCGCCGAACGGTCAATACCATCTATATGGCCGTCTCTACCTTCTACGCTCAGGTCATTCTTCACCGTCGCCTTCTTTGTGTAGACACCTTGCCTGCAGCCATACACCAACAGGCCACTGCGGGAATTGTTGATATTGCTCAGAAGCAGTTCCTAAGCGATCCAAATTTACTCAGACGTCTACACTGGCCGTTATTGATGGCAGTGATTGAAACCAGTGACCCAACGCAACAAGCGTGGCTCCGACAGCGCTTATGGGAACTACGCGAGTTCCATTCTGAGTACGTGTGGGCATATGACGTTGCCGAGCAGATCCTGGCTCAGCAAGATGTGAGCCAAGGCCGATATGTAAATTTGGCCGAGTTATTACTCCAGCGTTTTCATGCACAGTGAAGCCCTTTGAGCGACTTTGTATATGTACCCAAATGTTTATAGATCAAAATTAATGTCTGATGTCCCAGTCTGCTGCGTGCGGCAGTTAGAGCAAACTCTTGTTATTCTTCCCTTCTTCTGCCTCGGAGGGGTTTTCCAAAAAGTATGCATCATAGGCTACTTCGCCCTTGGCCCTTGTCGCGCGTCCCACAATGACACGATTGTTCATCCACCTGTACTTCTCGTGGCCAGTCTCAATCTTTACATGCAGGTGAAACCAATACTGGCTGGGGTCTACCGGTCCACCTTCCATCAGCGCCCGAAGCACCTCCGGGGGACCTGCTCTGGTGCCCTCGGTCCTGTTCTTGATCAGCGTGTTTTCTTTGACGCCAATGCTCTCAGTCAAAGTGAAGTTACCGAATGTAAAGAAATGCCCCGTCGTCACTTTTGATTATGTAGTTGGTATTGACATGTGTCGTCTGGTCCTCCTCCACCAACCTAGTTATTGCATCAGAACATGTCCATCGTATCGGGGTCATTGGACTTGTACATGAAATCTGCGCCTCCTGTGGGCACAACCTCGCCGTTGATGTACTTTCCCTGTACTGATCCAGACTTAATCGGAACACAACGCCGCCTTCCATAGGGGCCATTGCCGACCTCCATTGGCGGGTCCACCGCACAGCGGAGAGTAAAGAGGTGGGTGAGCTTGGGTGGCAGCGACAGGGTGTTCATGTTGCGAATCTCGAGGTGTTTGAAGGAGGAAACGCTCAAGTCGGGCGTTCTCCGGGATATCCGATCGGGCCAAACGGATACTTGTCAAGTGGGAAATTCTTAGGAAATTAAGCTATTTACAAGCTCCCCACACTCGAATTCCCCATACCACGGATATCTCGGCATTGCCTAGCTCGTTTACATGGATTACATGTATAGACTTTGCATTCAGTTCGCCGAGAAACATGCAGCTCCGCCAAAATATCCAAGGACATACTCTCCAACAATCATAATTTACGCTGGATTTCATCTAACATGTTACCAAGTCTAGATTCCAGACAAAATTGCTAGATGCTGACTCCCCGGGTATAGATGTCTCGGATTGACTCTTGTATTGACCACAGTGCGAATGGATCTGGCAACGCTCGCGTACCACTTGCTCGCTCGATGTGCTTGTCTGCAGGTCAACACATGTAGGTATCTAGTGAGTTCTTAGACCGAAGTAGTAGCTCCAAACACCAAATATCAAAGCAAGCTCTGTCATGTGATGATTTGTTTGTGGAGAGATATCAGATGAAGCTGCTACACTTACTCGCAATTCAATATGAATGTGGACCTTGCCTCTCCACCGCTTCAGCTCAACACATCCTCCCACTCCATAACTAATCTCTTCTCATCTTGGTGGCACCTTTGGGTCTTTCATCATCTCTATCCTATCACCACTACTCTGAGTGATCTATCTCAGGTTCTTTCACACGCTTTGACAGTAAGTCAACTCATTAGCGATGTATCCTATCATGCCACCTCGAATGGCTAACTGAGTCTCGCCTCCCTCAGTCTCCGCCGGATACCAGACCACCATGGGTATCCACGGATCCACCAGATACAACTTTACCCGGGCGCGAAACGAGCTGTGCCGGATATCAGACGCTCGGGATCAGCTGTCGTCGGCGAATTCCGTCCTCAGCCTCATGCCACCTACTGTTGCCAGCCACCCCGATGTGCAGAGACTCACTCTCACTTTGGAGGAGAAAACGGCTGTCGGTCATTGGAAAGGCGAGTTCACGGATACCAAAAACACTTTGGTGGCAGAGATTTATTTGCTTTCGGATGAAGAAATGAAGACGTTCATGCTTTACTATGGAGATGAAATATATCAGCACGGCATCAAATATGAGGCTCCAAGTCCACCATCGTCACAGGGCGATCCGTTGGGCCTGGACATGATGATCTAGATTAAGAGAGGATGGAACCATGACTTGTGCGAGTAAGTAATCATTATCGGATTGGACATGATGAGTGACGAATCTAACGCTCAATAACCTCAACATTCCTTTCTAAACTGTATAGATCTGCGGGGCTGTAATTGGTCGATCGAACCTTCAAAGCCCTGACATCACCAATTCCCGATTCACCGTAACATTAAGGGATGCGAACAGGAATCTCACTGGTTACAAGCATTGACATGTTGAAGAAAGTCGCTATTATCGGGGCTGGTGCTGCGGGCATGTCCTGCGCTGCCACCTTGGCCAAGCATCCCGAGTTCGCAGTAACGCTGATTGACATCGACTCGCATACCGGCGGCCAAGCGACATCAATCCCATTGGATCAGTCTACACATGGGGCGAGCTCGTTAAACGACGGCGTTCAAGGGGGCTCGCAAATATTCCGGCACACTTTCCAGTTTTTCCGTCGTTATGGTTATGAGCCCCAGCCGGTCAAGCTTCAAGTTGCGTTTGGCAAAGGGAGAAACTTCTGGACCAACGTGTTCCCTAATGCACTGGTCGATCAACACTCAGCAGAAATCAAGAAGCTCTTGCGGGTCCTTACGTGCGTCAAATATTTGATGCCCATTCTCGGCATCATGCCGGTCAAAACTATTCTGCGTTTGTTTCGTTTCAGCGCAGATTTCAGCAACCAAATGGTCTTGCAACTCCTGGCATTGTTTCTGGGAACAGGGAATCAAACTCCCAATGTCTCTAGTGTCCTCTTAGAGCGTCTCTTCAATGATCCCCAGATGAAGTTGTGGGAGTATGACCCGGATACACTATTGCCAAACCTCCCTCTCATGTATACGTTCCCGAACTTGAACAACTTTTACCGAGATTTGGCGGCAGGTTTGCGCGTCAAGGGTGTTGATATTCGACTCAATTGCAACGTGACCATCGTTGAACGAGGCAAAAAGGGTGTCGTGCTGCAGCTGCAGGACCATGAAGAGGGACAATCGACAGGGCAACCATCGACAGAAACATTCGACGATCTAGTCATATGCTGCCCAGCAGACGAATCTAAGAACCTCCTGGGTCAAAATGCTACGTGGCGCGAGAAGTATGTCTTGGGTGGAGTCAAATTCTTCAACGACCTCACCATCACTCACTCCGACTCCAATTATTTCCGGCAGATCTTCGAGTCAGTTTATGATCCCAAGCTCTGTGCAAAACCCACAACTCAGGAACGCAAGAACCAAATCGCATTTGCCGAACAAGAACCCCGTAGCCAGAAGGATGGCTGGCTGGGATTCCGCCCGATGTACTACATGCATTCCTATGTATCGGACTCGACAAAAATCGAAATGGGGTTCAATTGTAGTAACTACCAGCATCAGTTCCGTGAGGAACTGGGCGAAAACAAACCTCCTCTGCCTCAGGACCAACATGTGCTCCAGACGATCTTCTTAGTACCAGCCCCTGTCCCAATCTCAGTTTCACGATTTAGAAAAACCCGCTAACTCCACTGTTGCCAGAATGACCAAGAAAAAGACCTTTGGACATGGGATGCCATTGACCCATCCAAAATCATATCGTATGTGATTGATCCATTCCTAGCGATTTAAGTTAATTGTTTTGGACAGACAGAAATGGTGGCATCAATTTGGCCACCGGTGGCAGCACTATCTCAGAGTAGTTCCGGGGATGATGTTCATCAATAGAACTAATCGGACGCAATATGCAGGAAGCTGGACGATGGTGGTGAGTTTTGTCAGCTTTATAATTCCTTTTTGTGCGGAAATAACAAATTACGATGCAGAATATGCACGAGATCGCGTGTATCTCCGGCATTGCTGCTGCATACCGACTTGGAGCCACCTATGAGCCCTTCGATAATTTGCTGAGGACCTCTTTGCAAAGTATTTGCTTGTGTGTCATGGAACCAGGTACAAGAAGACCAAGGCAAAGGACGTATAGTCCAATGGTTCGGGTCGTCCTAGATGGACGATATTGCAAGCACCCGATACTTGCTAGTCAATTTATCGTAATAAGACGTATCAACATTTAGAAAGAAACTATACCATGCTATGATAATTTGACGTCCAGACGCAACATTAAGCTTGGCATCCGGGCTTTACATGTAAGCCTTCCAAGGTTGCCTTGTGTGGCTTTGTGCTCTTGCCAGCATGTACTACCAGGAGTCCTCGGCGGGTGGAACTCCATCGGCCTGCATTTGAAGTGCTACTTGATCAACGTCCGCCCAGACTCTCAGCAAGTTACCGCCTGCCACCTTGCTTGCATCCGCGTCACTCACTCCCCGTTTCAGCAACTCTGCGATCAGACTTGGAAATCTGGAAACATCTTCGAGCCCACGCGGGACTGTCGGAATACCATCGAAGTCACTGCCTATGCCAACATGTGCAAAGCCGACGAGCTTCCCAATGTGAATGATATGGTCGGCGACGCGTTCTAAAGTCGCATGTTCAGGGTCCTCGTCGGGTATCCCGTCATCGCGATCAGAGGCCGTGCAGGATATGAAGTCCGTTGCGAAGTTGACCATGACTAGAGAGTTCTTTTGACGCACCAGCTCCAGAATGTCATCGGGCACGTTGCGCGGATGTGGGCAAAGTGCATAGGCGGAGCTGTGGCTGTATATCACTGGAGCACGACTACCAGTCCAATCGGACTTTCCAGCGCCCAAGACATCCCGCATAGTCTCCGCGCTCACATGCGCTAGATCAACAATCATTCCAAGGCGGTTCATCTCCGAAATCAGCCTCTTGCCGTCCTCACTGACGCCGTGCCAGAGAGGGTCGGCCTTTTTTATACCTCCCGGGACTTCAAGAAGAGCGGCATCGGCGTACCGGTTGTGGCAATTGTGTGTCAGCGTAGCGTACGAGACGCCCAGTTCATAGAAGATTCGAAGATGGGCAAGGGAATTTCCGATGGAGTGCAGGCCCTCCATGCCCAGGGGTGAAATTATCTTTCCTTCGCGGAAAGCTGACAAGGCAGTGGTGCCATTGGGAGGCGCCGAGAAGATCTCGGGATGGGCTTGTTGAACACGCGACATCACATCCACCTGCTCGATCGTCTCACGCACACCTATGACTAGATGAGTATACCATTTTGCGGTCAGCCTGTGTTTCCCTTACTTGCTGCATAATTCTCGTCAGAGAAGTCGGCTCCATCAGCAGGACATGGCACGTAGACACTCCAAAAGGTACCACCGACGCGACCCTTCTGCAGCCGAGGAATATCCACATGGCCTGGCAGCGTGCCCTTGACAAAGGCATCAGTAAAATTGCGATCATTGATGCGATTGTGGAAGACCTCCCGAACGAAAATGGGGAAGTCATCATGACCGTCTGTTTAACCGGTCAATCGTCATCCTCCACGCAGATTTGATTCATTCCTACCGATCAAGGGAGTTTGTGATAGGATGCGCTCCACTCTGTCCTCGATGCTAAGTGGAGGTGAACAACACAGATACGGCCAAGCAAACCAGCCAGTAGCTAAGGCCGCGCAGAGTATCATCCACCAGCTTCGTTTGGGGGTTTTGCTTTGCACATATCGCTGGTCTTCCAACAAGTTCTTGTCCATTGTGGATGAGTTGAGAGTTGAAGAGAGGAGTGAGCTCAGGTCAGTTGGAGAGATTATCGATAAGCACGTCACATCGCGCTTACAAACATTCAATACTTCATTCGTTCTGGGTGATCTCTTTCAAAAACAACACTCTTGATACTATATCAGGTCAATACTAGCAGGGCAGACTCAAAACGAGGAATCCACCGAGTACCCTTAAGTCATATGCTATCTCTGTTGAATCAAAAGGTTGGCCGTGTAGGCATGTCTGTGTATAATGAAACATGATTCGACATAGTTATTAAAATGAATGTATTCGACTCCCATATTTCTTTCTCATCTCAGTCTGCAGACTTTAAGCCACTTCCTTAAAATATGTCCATTCCATAGCTTACTCAATGTATCTCTCAGTTGTATACCTTGGATCTTGAGGGAACATATGAAGGCTTGGCGGGCTCAGTCACGTGCGGTACCGCCTCAGGATCTCACAGTATAACGAGACCTTGGATCATATGGGATCTCTCCCATTTACATCATTCCTTTTTTGACGAAACTTTCTTGCAACCAGACCAGGATGATGCAGCCTGGCAAGCCCACAGCGGGTGTCCTCCAGATTCCCGTGGCGGCCACACAGAAGTCGGGCTCCGGAGCACCTCCAAAGAAGGCACCCAAACCCCCCGCTCCACGTCTGAAGCTCCTGATCCGACGTCTACCTCCTGGATTGACTCAAGCCGAGCTTGAGGCTGCTCTTGGAGACGAATGGAAAACCGGGGCAGGAAAGGTCGATTGGCTTCAGTACAAGCCTGGCAAAGTGTCCAAAGAGTACGATATATCTTTCATCCACCTACTACCATTATTCTGACTGATGGAACTTCTCGAATAGTCCTGCCAAGCCTTCCCGGCCCTCGCGAGCATACATCCATGTTGTATCCACCGAACATGTCACAACACTTTCGGACAAGGTGCGCCAGGAGTCGTTCCAGGATGCCCGGCACACCTCCAACGATCCCATTCTGCTTGGACCTCCATCGCTGGAGTATGCAGCTTATGCCAAAACCCCCGGAAGCCGCTCCCGCAAGGATGCCCGTCAAGGCACGATTGATCAAGACTCGGATTTCATTGCGTTCCTCGAAAGCCTAACTCAGCCTATCACCAAGCCGGCCCCTGTCGATTCAATGGCCGATGTCGAAGAGAAGAAGAAGGAGTCTGTTATGACTACGCCGCTGGTGCAGTACATCAAGGATAAGAAAGCAAGCAAGTCGAAGGACGGCGGCTCCAAATCCTCCAAGCACAGCCGCGCGGAGAAGGAATCAAAACAGGAAAAGGTCATGGCGAAGAAGCTTTTGCAACGAACCGACAAAGAACCCAGCTCAACCTCCGAAAAGAAAACCAGGGGAGAGAAGACGAGCAAGGAATCTACAAAGACAACCAAACAAGCAGCCGCCAATGCCAAGGCAGGGAAATCGACTGCTACATCGAGCGCTACGAAGGAAAATCCCCCGGCGCCAGAGCGCAAGAGAGAGCGCGGAAATGTTGCGGTGGCCACTAAAATCCTTCAGCGCGACCTTGGACTTCCGACCTCTGGAGGCCGACGGCGCGGCAAGGGTGGTGCCGCTGATACTAGTTCTCCCAAGAACGAAAGCTCTCGCGATTCCGCGGCTCCGTCGGTAGAGATGTCCAAGAAGGAATCTGCCAAATCTGCCAAGAATGCATCTACTTCTACAAAGCCTCAAGATGAATCAGCCTCGCGAGCATCCGCAGCCAGCCCTGCGCCGTCCACGAACCCATCTGCCAAATCTTCCAAGGGCAGCAAAGCGAAACTAGCCACCGGTCCTGCGCCCACTGCGACACAGGCATTCCTGAAGCACGCCAATCCCTCGCAGGGTGTCACTGAGGCACTATTGGAGGCCGCATTCAACCCGTTCGGAACAGTGACCAAGGTTGAGATTGACAAGAAGAAAGGATTCGGGTATGTGAATTTCGCTGGACCAGAGGGACTTCAAAAGGCCATTGCCGCCAGTCCCGTTTCAGTCGCCCAGAGTCAAGTGGTGGTGTTGGAGCGCAAAGCCAATCCCCATCCCGGTGCAGAGAAGTCTCGCAAGGGTCGCGACACACCAGCACCCAGCGCCAACAAGGCCAAGGCTGGTGAAGGAGCAGGAAACAATGCCGGGTCTTCACGCGGGTCTCGTGGAGGACGTGGATCGCGCAACAAGGGCTCCAAGGGAGGCAACGGAAGCAGTGCACCTTCCGAGAAGACAGGAGGATCAGAGGCCAACTGAGTCTACACTAGTAATTGTTTAGCGGTTTATGAGACATGAGATACCCGAGCAATGAAGAAACGCAATATCCTCGATCACATGTATTGGGACAAAATATTTCAACTCCTTGTACTGTGCAGTGGAATACGCTAGACAAGACAGACATTCACACGTAGCAAAGACAACTTGAGTATGGGAACCCATTGTAGGTACCGCAGATCCCAGTGCTCGAAGACAAGGATCTATGTAGAGGACAGGATGATCGTCTATGCGTGACGCGCATCAGTCTACTAGGCATTTACAATAGCGAAACGTTGCAGTTTGAAAATTTTTTATTGAAATTAACGGGACCCTCTTACAGCTCACCATACCATCAACCAGAATGGAAGAGGACCTTTCAGACCTCCTCGACACCCACCAGGACCGACCGACCGAAGTCAGACATCGAGACCAGGTCAAGATCATCACCACTCCCTGGACCAAAACACAGACACTGCGAACAGCACGCGTAACAGTCGAGGCGGAAGTAAAAAGGTTTCACTTTAGGGCATCGAGGACATAGCAGTCATCAGCAAGGGTGGAGATTCTGTGGCTCTTATAAAGAGCTTAGAAAGAGGACGTCTACTCTAAAGTGATTCTTTGAACTGTGGGAAGAGGTCAGTAACATGTTCAAAGCAGGGATATTCCAGGGCTATCTAGAGGATAGCCTGTAGGGGCAGGGAGAACATACGTAGAGTCGCTTGAAAAAGAGAAGAAGGGACGGGGAGGCCGTGGATATTTATACGGTGCCAGGTCCACGCTAGTGCTAAGCGAGACAGGCGTGTGTTTGTCTAGTTTGTTTGCCAAGATTGGAACTTTACAAACTGCCTGGCCAATCACAGACTAACACCCTCTTTCAAGTGGGCCTCCCCGGGTGGATCCCGACAGAATTTTCCTCTCGTTGCCGGGTGAAGATGAGCTCTCCATTCTCATTACTTGATCAATTGGGCTTTTGATGTGTCAAAATGGTCTATGCTTGGTCTGGATGTCACACCGACACTCCATTTTGACGTTGCCCAGCTGTAGCGACGTTGATTGGTCGATTCAATAATACCTCGGCATGCCTCGGCTTGCCGAACTGCCGTACACATCAAGGTTATGCTTGATATTGATTACTCTCAAGAAGAGGAGATGGGATTAAGTAGCGAAGGAATCAGTATTTAAATTGATCTTGGTCAGATACTGGATCAAGAGAAAAAAGAACCGACCGTTTCCGTTGAAAATCGATTTATGGTAAATTTGCACCCGAAATATATATCTGCAACCGACTGCAACTGGGCAACGTCTTTTCCTGACGATTCAATATTTGTTTAGAATTCAGTGAAATTTCGGGCTTGCAACTGTAAAATACCAATCTCTACTTTTTTTTATTATTACTTTTATGAAGTACGGTGCTATCTCTAACGTTATGCATATCCGAAAGACTAGCGAACTTGATTAGTGGCAGAAAAAGCTCTACGGCATGTGAGCATACTTCTAGCATAGTCAAGCAGAATATAGTAAAGCCACTCTAAATAAATAAGATCGATCAAGAAACAAGAGATCATTCGCTCTCATGTTATCTATTGCCTGGTGCCTCTTCCGAATGTCGGGCCGCGCACACCCGCTCCCCGCTTATCTTGCGGGGATCTCCCCAGACTCACTTCATCAATCATGGCGCGTCCTAAGGTCCTGCCAGCTAATCGTTTACGCGCTAATACTGCATGTACTGCTTGCCGCTCATCGAAAAAGCGCTGCAGCGGCTCATTTCCATGCACTAATTGCATCAACAAAGGTCGGAGCCGGACGTGTACCCCGTTCAAATCCTTAGATACAAACCTCCGCAACCGCCCTGTACCTGCTTCACGACCCCAAGTCAGTGACCGTCCGCCATGGAGCGAAACAGAACCCGAAGCGCAGAGCTCTTTGAGGTCACAGACACATGAGGTCATCACTCCTAGGCGCGAGTCCGACACGTTGGAACCGGGGTCGCGCTCCCCCGAAGCTACACATCGGACCCATTCGCGGATGCTCCGCAACTTACAGGGAGAAAGAGGTATGAAACTGTATGATTCCCGTCTGAAACATCGATTGACAGTTGCTCGCAGTTTATGTCGGAAAGGCTGCTTCTTTATCATTCCTGCAGTTGCTGCGGGATACAGTCACCCAGCATATTGGGCCATCGCAATTCTCCCACAATGTGAGAAGTGAGGATATGTTAGAAACAGAAGCCCATCATGACCTATTGAACTTTTCCGAAGAGCGTTGCAGCGTGGAAGAGAAGCGCCAGTTCATCCGGAACTATGAGGCAGCCGTAATACAACCAATCCCTCTGCCAATTCACCATCTGACAACCTTCTAGACAACCGGATTCCTGTATGTAGGATGCGGCGATGGTATTTTATCCACATTAATGGATTCAGCGGAGCCGAAAACCGACAAAGAAAAGACAAGAGCGGCCATAGTAGACCTGATGGTTGCTATTGGGGCTCAGACATGCCTTAATGAACCCGAGACTGTCCAAGTGGAACGATTCTACTTTGCTCGCGGTCAACGCAGGACATTTGCGAATTTTCTGGAAGACCCAAGCATGGATTTGATACGAGTCTTTCTATTGCTGTCATTCTACATGCTCGGGGCATGCCGCCGGAATGCCGCCTTCATGTACCTGGGTGTGGCTTCACGCGCCGCAGTGGCATTAGGCTTTCACGTAGACCCTTCAGGGTCAGTGAGTCGCAATGAGCGTTACGAAAGGTGAGCTTCCTCCTCAGAAGCCAGACTCGGGCTGATATATATCAGGTCACGATTATGGATGAGCCTATGTGTCCTTGATCTCATGGTCAGCTCAATCCTCGGACGTCCTTCTGCTATATCGCCTCTATTGCCCGAAAGTCGACAGACTATCAGCCGTGTAGGGACTGACTCGACTGCTACAGGTTTGGAGGCTTCATATCATCTATCATTTATCCTGGACGAGATAGTCAACCGCTTATACGGCGAAAAAGCGGCATCTACAGAGACAGCAGATCTCCTGCTGGGAAAATTAAATCGCTGGAGCGAACATCTCCCGCACTCACTAAGAACTACGTCTTCGGAACATGAAGATGAGAGTGCCATCCGACAACATACCATTGGGAACATGCACGTAGCATGTTCGTATCATTTCGCTGTGATTTTAGTTACTCGGCCTTTTCTCATATCGGCACTGAGTGTCCGGCTGGCCCGGTTGCACCAGAGCCTCTCAAGTGGCGTGTTCAGTGAGCCACTTGAAGAAGACCCAGCTCATTCCCGGCTGGCAGCCGCCTGTATTGACTCGGCTGTCTACATGCTACAGACGTGTCTAGAAGTCCTCCAGTCGGGGCTGCTTTTCCGTAATATGTGTATCCTGAAGTAAGTATTTCCCTATGTCCAAACATTCGGTCAAGCGCTTACGATAGAGGACAGAGCTTTTGTGTTTGCTGCCGCTCTTGTGCTCGGGTTCTCCATGTTTTCCCATCGTGACGTCGACTCCGAGATTGATGGTGCATTCCGCGGTGCTCTCACTATCCTGCGCATGCTGGCGCCGCAGTCTGCCCAGGCAGCCCACTACCTTGAGATTACAAGTATGCTTGAATCAGCTATCACCCAACAGCGCCAGCAACTCGCAGCCCATGCGCGCCAGCGAAGAAGCCAATACGTGAACCGAATATTTAGCCTGAATGACAACCCAACAACACCGCGGACCCAATCTGAAAGTGCCGACCAACCAGAGACTACGACTCCACGACTCGCGCAGGGTGCGCCATACTCATGGTTACAGTCGGATGATGGGACAGGTGCTGTCACACCCCTGCTTGATGGAACCTTACTTGACTGGGAGGGCATGGACTTGCCACTGTGGGACAGTTTTCCATTTCTCACTGAGTTATCTATAATTTGATGAATAAGTTCTACGAAGCATGTACTAGCAAATAAGTCTCTGTTGAACCGAGACACGATCATGCTTAATAAGACCAATGTATTTCTGTCTCCAAGAAGGGATGATCCGATACTTCTCTCAAACAGAAGACTTCACAACCGGAGACACAAACCCAGGCGGGTAAAGAATCGAAGTGTCCCAGTAGAGTTGGTAAATACCGGTGACATTTGTCTCCTTGAGACGGAAGGAATCACTCAGAGCACCACCCTCATCTTGCCACATGAGATACCTGCCGTAAAACAGAAAATTATCCGCTGCTGCATCGCTAGGAGTCTCGATATCATTTCCAGTGAACCCCACAGTTAGTATCTGGTTGGCAGTAGGACGGATGTAGAGGGTCGTGTCATCATCCAGGGTGATATCCGTGTTGGTGGCAGTAGCATACAGCCGGGTATCAGTGAAGGCAACTAATAAGGAGTTAACAGACGTTCTTTCCAAAAAAGGACCAGAAATGAAACGAGAATCCTACAGGTAACGTCAGTAGTCACCGATCCCTCCCACTTAGAAGCGTCGCCAACATACGCGAGTCCTAAGTATTGGGTTAGACATGGGCCAAAATACATTGGGTGAGTGTTGATTACCATCAGAGTAAAAGACATTGACCGCTGAATTAGCAACACCGTAGGCAAGAAGAGTAAAAGAGCCCGTTGGATAGCGCTTTTCCAGCTCTTTGGATATGGAGGGCGCAGCCATAGCATGTGCCGCCCAAGCCAAGGTGGCCGCGAAGAGATGGAACTTCATGGTTAGAATTAGTCCTCATGAAATCTGATTCCCCCATGACAGGCATGACAGCGCTTGGTCGGCCATCTTTATAATTCTGCGTCCCTGCATCAAAAAATAACATCCACGTGCGGTTGGATGGTGATGTGGCCAGGCCCTGCGATGTCGAAAGGCTGAAACTATCCCCCAGCTAATGAGAAGACCACAATGGATCCTTCAAATCCCTCTCGGCTGACGACCGTAGCCAAGGATTGCGGCGAGTTTGTGATATCTCATGCTTTTACAACCAGACTCGATACATGCAATCTATAGTCCTACGAGCGACCCGTCTAAGATTTAGTTCGAGATATGCCCCAATCAAACCTACTTCTGTCTTGAAATTAGTTGTTGAATATAGGTTGCAGAGGAACCATGTTCGGAGTCCGAAGAGAACGATTATAGCGTTGTAGAAGCGACTGGGTCACAGTGCCAATCAAAACCCAGTAGGTCTGTACTGTCTTTTATTGGCCGATTTACTTAGTGAGGTGGCTACTTTCGAGGTAGAATAAGCAGAGAGTGCGTACTCTCCACCACTGCGCTGTAACCCCTCAAATTTAGTTCCACCGTGTGATTTCCGGCAGGAATGTGGCTTAAGTTACCAGGAACATTTCCTTCGCACTGAAAACATTCATAATAAAGGATTATCTAGCCTTGACCGGAACACAGGGGTCTGATATAAACCCCTGAACCACAGCCAACGCCTACCCTCCCACAGGAACTATACTAATGCAACATTACTAGCATTATTTTCTAACGACCAACTAGTGCATCTCTTCAGTGCACTTAAATGCCCTTGTCTGCCCCTAGGAACAAGTAATCTCGTTAACTCCGGGGTGGGGAGGCTAGAGTTGTCCCGGCTTGTCCGAGGAAGAAACGGAAAGAATTATCCCGTTCACGTCAGTTCCATCAGACGTAGTAGAGAAATAGGCATCCTGTCTAGATTTACGCGACACCAACCACGCTTTATGACAGGTATACATAAGACCTCGGGCATTTTTCGAGTTACTATCTCCACACGACATACGTACGCTCAATGCTAATGGCAAAATTGCATCCGAACGAATCGAGGATGGATGGACAACAAGAACGGAAGAAAGCCCGCGCTAAAAGGACAAGGCTCCGTTCTACACACGATGGTATGCAGAAACAAATCTACACGCATGAAGGAGCACGTACGCACAGATCTCTATAGGCAAGACTCTCATAATATGTTGCCATTAATATAACGAAAGATTGATAAGATTAAGAGTCGCCAATAAACTGATATTATGTTTTGGTTCTGTTGCTAATCTTGCAGTCAGAGCTCGGGCAGCTTAAGCGACTTAAGCAACCAATAAACAAACTACGTGTAAGGATTATCTACGAAACTAAAGGGGGACTTATTGAGTTGGAAAAGAAGAAAACGAGTATTAATTGACACGGTGAGCGGGGCGCCAGAAACCGCTCCTATTGCACCGCCCCTCTGCCGTCCCCGACCGCCTGCCTACCTCCGCCGTCCCCCTGCCTACCTGCCGTCTATCTATAAAAGACCGCTCGCCCTCTCCTCCTCTTGTCGACGTACTTTCTCTTCTTTTCCCCCCCTTCTACCCCGCTTTCGGTCTGTGAGTTAAACGGGGACTTTTTGATTAAGGATTAGAGACACGCGGTCTAGAAATTTCTACGTAGGCTAGCAGGCAGTTATTATTACGTTTGACATGTCTATTTATTACTATGCAACTTCAATTTACAAAGAGTAATCTTAATAACTGAAGCGTATCCAAGAAATGGGTCGTTCCGGATCTTGCCTTCCTAATAAACGACGAAGCTATCTCACGAACAGACTAGACCAGCGGCCTCGTTGAGGTTGTAACGAACAAAAAATTCCGCCGGAGCCATAAATTAGTCAATGCACTTGCTGGGACTTGAATTAATTACGATGGATTTGAATGGCATTAAAATTAACGAGCCGAAGAAATGATAGAAGCACGAGATACACGAGACGCTATTCAGTATTTTGAATGAATCCTCAATCTGAAATAATAAGGGTCCTGTTATTTTCCAGTCGAGTCTTTCTAGAAGACTCGGAGACGATATCCGACTGGAGTTGATATTTTCGCCTGTACCAAGATTTCATCCTCAAAATATTGGTCTCCATCGGTTGTTTTGTGAAGACAGTAAGTAAAGTAGTCATCTCAACCATTTTCCCCTTTAGCGGCGCACCAAAGACCAAAGCACCCTTCCAGTGACCTAAAAGAATATTGTCTTGCTCTTTGTCAAAAGGCCGAGCTGATTGAACTACTTGCAAAAAGTCAGGGCATCTCCAACAGTCACCTTGACAATCCTGTCGGCACCTTTGAAATGGAGACCCGGAAAGTTGCCAGAAGTGAGCGCGCGATAGCTGACGGAAGTTTGATTTAATGTTAACGCCATGCGTCATAGACAGGCTCTCGATACTCTGCATAGATGCAGCCATGAAGTTGTATCCGATTGGCAAATTGTTGCATGGCGAGGAGAGGTCTGGCACTCTTCTACCAACAATTGCCTCGCCCAGGTCAGAACAGAACAAGCAGCTAATTCCATCCAGCAGAGATGACCAGGCTAGACCTTCTTTTTTGATTCGTTTTTTCTTCAACTCAGACCGGGGAGACCCCATTAAGACATCCATCAACTCATATCCGTAGATTTCAGAACGGGCTGGCTTGTGCAATGATGCCTTGGATAGATTCGCCGAAAGCCCCATGACAATCTCACGAATAGTAAGCGAGTCATCCCCCGAGCGTTCCAGGACAAAGCTACCTTTATCGCTGAGTGTCATGAACGACGCAGAAGGACCCGATATGGTAGCCTTCGGTGCATGATTAACGCGATGCTCGTTCTTAATACCCTCCGAATAAACTAGGAGCATATGGTGTAGTACACAGATTAGAGGAACTAGCCATGCCCTTTCTGTACTGACATCATAGAGTACGGTATGTTCCATGACACCATTTCTCAAGCATCTGAGATAATTCTGGGAGGGGTCGAATTGGACAGTGTTAAGGACTCGGTCGAAGGAAAATCCAATTTGTCCACCCATCTGCAGCGGAGCAGCAGACTGTGCCAGAACTTGAAGATTGGCCCCTTTCCAGTGCCATGTGGTTGCTTTCACCTTCGCATTGGACCAAGTAACGCTGGGAGCGAGCCGATCCGTACCTAGAAGGATATTTGCCTCGGAACACCAGCCTACTAGCGCCCTCTTTGACTGCAAGTAGTCAAGACTGTTGGCTTTCAGCCAGTTTCTCTTTGTTGCTTTGATGTCGGAGACTTTGAATTGTGAATCCTGACGGGAGGTTTCAAGATGCCATAATATCATTCCATCTTTTGTTTCTTTGATAGGGACAAGAGCAGTTGAGTAACCCATAAGAATGAGACCAGATTCAACGAAAACAGGATATTCGACTGCCGAAAGCTGGAGCATACGAAGAAAATCAAGCTCTAATCCACGGCTTGTGGTTTGGCGTCCAAGCCCTGGGGCCGGGGAAATGACAGCTTTGCTGAAAAGACCATGCCAGCAACAATTGTCTCTGGAGAACTTTGAAAGAGGCCGTATAGGTCTCAAGTCGTAATGAGTTTCTGGAAGGCCGAACCTCATGGTTTCCATTGTCGAGCTTGAAAGGCCTATAAGTCCGGGGGTTGGCCTTCTGACAGTAAGGCAAATCCATTTGAAAATCTCGAGCAGGTTTGGAGTGGAAGTGCTACTCTCTATAGAGATAGATCCCCGATACCCATACGCAAGCACTTGAATCATCATGGTACTATCAACTAGTGGGACCTTTGTATCAGAAAACGAAATAAAGAAGCGTTGAAGCGTACTAACAGTAGAGATTGAGAGGGGTTTCCAGGGCTCTGATGATCCCCCGCAACAAGTCAAGACCGGTTGTATCAAATGAGCGAGATAGGTAATCTTGGAGAGTTGCAAACTCCACGGTGTCTTTTTTCCTTATCAAGACTCCCATGTTGAATAACCATTCAGTACCATCGCGATCAGCTGCCAATGACGGAAGTTCGCAATAGAATTTTAGCCTCAAAGTTTCCGGAGAGTAAGTGTATTCAGATGCCATGCCTTTGAGAACATTGCAAAAAGCCGAGTCATTTGACGCTGCTCTCTGTATCAAGCTTGCTACCAGAGGTGAGATTTTAGCCCCTGCTTCAAATAGAAGTTTGATGGCTGTAGCATTTCTGCTGTATACTGCCACCGACATTGCATCATTGAAGCTACCAAACGAGAGTGGTAAATTAACATCCGCCCCTGCTTCAAGTAATATCTTGACCGACTCTGAAGTACGTGGACTCTCAGAAGCTGCGGCAAGAGCACTGCCGAATTTCCCGTGGACGACCTGTAGATTGACATCTGCCCCTCTGTCGAGAAGAGCATTTACGTTCTCTGGATATTGACTAAAACTCGCAGCAACAAGAGCGCTGCCATATAACCCGTGAGCGACCTGTAGATTGACATCTGCCCCTCTGTCGAGAAGGACTTTCACATTATCTGGAAATTGACCAACGCTCGCAGCAACGAGAGCGCTGCCATATTGCCCGTGTGCAAACTGCATGTCGATCTCTGCTCCCTTATCGATCAAGATGTTGAGAGTAACAGTATCACCGCATTGCGATGCTTCCACAAGGGGACTGCGGAGTTGTTCAAGACCTTGAGAGAATTTCCATGCATTTGTATAATAGTTCCTTGGGACCGGTAGGCCTCTCGAAGCCGGTATCTCGGGGTATCCTGAGAGACTCTCGTGAGAGGAGGAGCTGGCGAGCTGTCTGTTTGACCCCCCAAAAGGCCAGTCGCGGAAAGACTTGCTTGACGGTAGTGTGGCGCGAGAAACCAACGAGCGTAGCTCTAAGCTGTCAAAACTTCGGTGGTCATCCGATATCCTAGATGGTTCGCTCGTGACGATGATTCGAGGAGGCAAGTCTTCTTCTGCGTCTCTCTGTTTGCCTTTCGTTTTCGATCCCTGTTCATAATTGTCGTCTTCGTGGCCGGTAGAAATTTTGTTCTCCCCCTGATCTTCTTTCTCTGGCTTCAATATATAATCTCGTTTGCTCCTCGGTATAGTCAGAAAAGTACGTCCACCGGCTTCATAGTAGGCAGAACTCTCTTCAGCTGGTTGTTTTCCCTTTGTTAGCGAATTTTTAGGTACTGGGGCACTGGTAGAGCTCTCGGCAGGGACTTCGGGGAAGTGACGTTTTTCCTTCTTCTCCGGTCTGAGTGCTTCGGGGCCTGGCGGCCATATTTTCGTTTTGAGCTTTTTCGTGATGCCTTCATGTGCTCTGGATGAGGCCGCCATCAGGATTTGAGCAGGTGTCTATAGAAAGAGAAGGAACATACTTTGTCTTTGCATTAAAACTCGAGTAAAAGGGGGGAGAACGCTTGAGCCGCATCAGGGCGGGGCTGCGGCTGTGTTAACGCTTGATCGACGCTCAGGCCCAGCCAGAGAACTTTGAGAAACATGTCTGAACTACCGCGAAGAGGTTATGCTTCTGCTTGAGATTAACTTATTATAAGCGCTAGTATCCATTTGAATCGTTTGTCTAACTACCCCTTGACTACCAGTCATATGGACCTCAAGAACATTTTTGATGCTGCTGGTATGGATGTGGTCAAGTCTGAGATGCAGACTGGATTCCCGAAGCAATCCAACTTCTTGGTTAGAATGCGTGCGTTGCAATGGGGAAAAATGGAATATTGTTATAAGTACCCCTCGTCTCTCCTGGGTGAATCAGTCCAAGACACTCCTACGATTTCGACACGGAAAGCCTATGAACACCGCATTGATGCAACGTTGAATGTCTCGATCGTGAGTTAATAAAAGTCGCAAGGGTGGCATCTCTTTATTGCGACTGATGGAGAATTCATGGCCGCTTTAACTCTGTTGAAGGAGTTGTTTAGTGATGAAGAATCCCAGGCGATTGGAACCGCCGACTATGGAAATTAGAGTGAAGTTATGCTTATATACCCTTAATATATAAGTGGATGTACAGACAAAGAGCAATATAAAATGATGTAACTTATGATCTAGATCTCCAGGCTGGGGTTGCTATTGCCAAGACTCGACCGGTTAGGAAGTTGACCGCGAGCTGAACAAGGATACAACGGAGTTTACCGGTTATTGGTCGGGGATAGACCTCACTATCTGCCTAACGCATCACCTGGCTTCACTCATTCATAGCTTAAAACAAATAATATAAAATCCACTGGTCACCCGTTAGAAACCTAGCCCTAGAGCCGGAGGAGTTACTAGAGAGCGAGGGAGGACTATCGGTCGAGGGTTATAGTGGTCGATATTTATAGAAACTTAGAGAAGCAGAACGGTCAATAGGGAAGCCAAAAATAGCTCCCCTCCGCCAGGAGGGTGACTGAGGGTGAAGGAGGATAGGGCCGAATACACATCGGTCGATCAATAGGCCTAGGCACCAGGCACGGCCAACCCTAAGTACAGGCAGTAAACGGGGTTGTCCGTGGGCTTTGGCGCACGTGACGCCGTGGAGCTTCTTAAAACGGCGTCAAAAGCGGCCGTTTCTGGGCTCCCCTTCACCGTGTCATCCTTAATTGGAGTATTCATTCAATGGAATCTATGTTAGTCTGACATTTGAAAGAAACTCCACTTCAAACACTAAAAAGGAAAATTAGCTCCAGTTGTTAACTATCTCTGCGCGGGTGAGAATACGCGCGAGGTCAAAGGCAACCTTATGGTCTTCTGTCGCGGTGCATCTAAGAGTACTAATCAGTAAGGGCAGGACTGGCATAATAAAAGTGCAGAGATTTCGGAGATCAGTGGAGTCCACAGTCTTGGACAAATCAATAGTAGCCATGATTCCACTCATCTCGCGGCGAGTCACTTCTAGCTGCTCAATGACCCTCAGGCGATGGTCCGGGTAACGGCCAGAGTCCGGAAAATCATGATGCTCTGGGTTATGGCGACGACCTGGGTAGTGTCTTAGGTTGTTAACTTGACTTCGTAGAGCATGCACGAAGTATTCATATTGTGTATACATGGTGGAATCTGATTCGGATATTGTGAACTAGATTAGGTTGGAATTTTAACAGATGTTATTGAGTGATTAGCTAAAAGGTGATGGGAGTGAAGCAATTTATACAGTTGCAGTCAACTGATGGCCAGGGATTATACTGTTAAAAGACAACAATAGGCTTTGTCCGGTTCTTTGTGAGGTTCTTAGGTTGGATATTGGCCTTACTATAGTGGGTGGCTTGGTGACAAAGATAAGACAAACGCACAGATCAGGTAGATAAAGAACGGTTTGTGCTCATTGTTCAAGACCACGAAGTATACAGAACAACAAAGTATAGAGAAGATGATAAGCGGTCCGACAGTAAGCGTGCGCGGCCCGCTGTCGGTTCCGCCCAGTGCGCCATCCGACCCGATGTATAGATAAGTGACGATGAACACATAAGAACGTCTCGAGTGCATCTTCATCTCTCTCACTTCATCTTCTATCCAATATTCTTACATCAATCTTTCTTCTTCCATTTCTCCATTTCAGACAAACAACACACTATGTCAGGCTGGCGCAGTCTCAACGTCGGCGTAGTCGGTGGTGGCATCGGCGGCATGTGTGTCGCAGTTGCGCTCCGCCGGGCCGGACACAATGTAACCATTTACGAGAAGTCGGATTTTGCAGGCGAGGTCGGTGCCTCAGTCTCATGCGCAGCCAACGGAACCCGTTGGCTACACGAGTGGAACATCGATGTTGCCAAGGGTGACCCTGTCGTCTTGAAGAAGCTTATCAATCGTGACTGGAAGACCGGTGAGCCAGTCAGTGTCTACGATCTTGACGACTATGAGAAACGCTGGGGATACGTCTACAATATGTTCCACCGACAATACATGCATGCTATGCTGAAGGATGCGGCGCTGGGTGAAGGCGAGGGTACGCCAGCGACACTCAAAGTGAACCACCGCGTAAGTTGACAATACATCTGATTGAAATTTGATATGTACTTATCTGTCTTGAATATACAGTGTCGGAATATCGATCTGGAGAACGGCAAGATCATTTTCGAGCATGGAGAAGAAGTACAACACGATCTAATCATCGGCGCTGACGGAATCGGATCCGCTGTTCGTGGTATCCTTGGGATTACACCTGAAAAGCGTCCATCCGATCAAAGCTGTCTTCATACAAATGTTACCACCGAAGAAGCAGTCCGACTCGGACTAGTCGACTACTCGAAGGACAGCGCATTGGAATACTGGGGCGGCCAAGAAGGAAAATGGGACAAGATCGTGCTATCTCCCTGCAACGGCGGCAAGCTCCTGTCATACTACTGTTTCTTCCCTCGCGAGCAAGGCGACTACTCAACACAGGCATGGGGTGCCGAGGACCGCCCCGTCGAGGAACTTCTTAACCCATATCCGGCATTGGACCGTCAAGTCTTTGAGCACTTGAAGATAGGAACAGAGATCAAGCCCTGGCGCCTCTGGGTCCATGATCCCTACCCTTACATTCAGCGAGGAAACGTCTGTCTCCTCGGCGATGCTGGTCACCCCATGATGCCGCATCAGAGCCAGGGAGCTTGCATGGCTATTGAGGATGCCGCGGCACTTGGAATCCTCTTCAACAAGCGCTACTTCAACGGAGATATTTCTCAGGCCTTGGCTGTTTATGAGGCAGTACGTTTGCCCCGCGCCACACGTGTGCAGGCCGCAGCAGCAAAGGCAGCATACAATATTAACGAGAGAATCGGTGAGTGACTATCTTCGATTGCAGGGTGTGGTGCAGTGTGCTGACGATCTATAGGATTCTCCGTCAATAAGGATATCCCCACATACAAAGTCGAGGACGCAAAGAAGGTCCTCACAATCGAAGAGATGAACGCGTAAGTCCAGCATACCCATACTGACCCGAGCTCCAAAACTAATGAATCCAGTTACGACATGTACCGAGACATCGAAGAGAAGCTCGCAGCCAAGCGAGGGACAGCATATGCCGACAAGTTCATCAACGGGCTCCCAGTCGGTCTAGAGCTACCAAACGGAGTTACCATCGGGGAATCCAAGCTATGATTGGAGATGTAAATTAGACCCAGAACCATGTAGATACTCTGTACATACCGTTGCATGAAACCACCAATACCCATGTGTATAACTCTGTTTCTGGTAATATTGGCATATGAAGCCCTGTATGATGTGCATGCCCCACGTTAATATTTCTAGAATAAAACAATGTCCAGCCTATTGAGTTGTTCAACACCAAGTCTCTCGGGGTGAGATACCCCGAGCGGCATACATTAACCCGGCGAAACGCGCGGGATGTTTCGCAATGAAGTCCGACCCTACATGAACAGTAATGGACAATTAGGGTTGATTGGATTCGGTGAGATTCAACAGTGAGAATGATATTATACTCTATTGAGGTTCTACTTTCACGGATACATGTACAGTGTACCTCGGTAGATAAGAGGGGTAGGTACTGCACATTAGGTTCCCACCAGTAACGTTATACTACAGGATACTACAGCAGAGTAAAATAGGTAGGATCCAAGCCCTTCAATTTGTATTTTATACAAAACGAACATTTCCAATCATGTATCATCATTTGCGTCGGTTTTTATTTGATTACTTTTTATGTTTTTTAACCGAAGAGGGCGTCACCCAGACGGTAGTGAACCGTCTTGACCTGGGTGTAGTTGTCCAGGGCGTAGGAACCGAGCTCGCGGCCAAGACCGGACTCCTTGAAGCCACCGAAGGGAGCCTGGTAGGAGATCAGGTTGTAGCTGTTGATCCAGACGGTACTGCACGAATATTAGTATTAATTGTTTGTACCAGTGTTGAGTTGTAACTTACCCAGCCTTGAGAGCGTTGGAAACGCGGATGGCAGTGTTGACGTTCTTGGTGTGGACGGCAGCAGCGAGACCGTAGTTGGTGCTGTTACCAATGCGGATGGCATCGGCCTCATCCTTGAACTTGGTGACGGCAATGACGGGACCGAAGATCTCCTCCTGGGCGATCTTCATGTCGGGGGTAACGTCAGTGAAGATGGTGGGCTGGATGAAGTAGCCCTCGCTACCGTGGCGTTCACCACCGATGGCGACGGTGGCACCCTCGTCCTTGCCGTGCTTAATGTACTCCATAATACGGTCGAACTGGAGCTGGGAGACCTGGGGACCCTGGAAGGTGTCGCCCTCGAAGGGGTTGCCGAGCTTGTTCTGGGCAGCACGCTCCTTGAAGCGAGCGATGAACTTGTCGTGGATACCCTCCTGGACCAGCAGGCGAGAACCGGCACAGCAGCACTGACCGTGGTTGAAGAAGATACCGAAGTTGGCCCACGAGATAGCGTTGTCAATGTCGGCGTCATCGAAGACGATGTTGGGGGACTTGCCACCGAGCTCAAGGGTAACCTTCTTCAGGTTAGACTTAGCGGCGGCCTGCAGGATCATACGGCCAACAAGGGTAGAGCCAGTGAAGGCGACCTTGTCGATGTCCATGTGGCTAGAGATGGCGGCACCGGCGACACGGCCGAAACCGGAGATAACGTTGATGACACCGGGAGGGAAGCCAGCCTCGACAATCAGCTTCGAGGCATAGAGACCAGACAGAGGAGTCTGCTCGGCGGTCTTGATGATAACGGTGTTACCGGCAGCAATGGCGGGACCAATCTTCCAGGCCCACATAAGGATGGGGAAGTTCCAGGGGATGATCTGACCGCAGACACCGACGGGCTCGTGGCGAGTGTAGGAGAGGGTCTCGGGGTTGGTGTCAATGGTCTGACCAGTGATCTTGTCAGCCCAGCCACCGTAGTAGCGCAGACAGCCAGCAGCGTTGGCAATATCGATCTTGGCCATCGTGACGGCCTTGCCGTTATCCAGAGCTTCAATGGAGGCGAGGGTCTCCATATCACGCTCGAAGAGGTCGGCAAGCTTGGTGAGCATGCGGCCACGGTCCGAGGGGGTCACCTGCTTCCAGGGACCCTCGAAGGCGGCACGGGCAGCCTTGACGGCGATGTCCACATCCTTCTCGGTAGCCTCGTGAACAGAGGTGATGGGTTTCTCGTTGGTGGGGTTGAGAGTTTCAAAGGTCTTGCCCTCGACACCCTTGATGAACTCGTTGTTAATGAACCTGGCAAGGTGTTAGTGTAGCTCTGGGAAGGTGGGGGGTGGGGGGTGGGGGTATAGCTTACAAGCCGAGGGGCTGTTCGTATGTCACATTGGGAGTCTTGATAGTAGTGGAAAGCGACATGATGATTATGATGATGGGGGAAAGGGGTATCACTGAAGAGAAGAGAGGGGGAAGCAGAGAGTTTTATAATGGCAAAAGTGGCAGGAACTGGATGACTTGCGGGGTTGACGCCACTTGGAGCTGTCGTATTGTCGTATTGTCGTATTCCGGGTGTATCATAAATTACCTCGGTGTGATTACATAGCGAACTGCCGGTTCCTTTCTATTCTTTCTTTCCTTTTCTACCTTTTCTTCTGATATCGATGTCTTTCTGATACACTCAACGAGTCTCCAGCCTTGGCAATGTGGCCCAATGTGGCCGGCCCTCGGTCCAAGGCCGAGGCTATCCGCGTCAGGCCCCGAGGGGGGTTAGCTCCCCCGGGTCTATTTCTAAACCAGGAGTAAACGTCAAGTCTAATTGGTGTCCCTGGAACAGTCAGCAGAATGAAGCTGCGTTACTATTACCTCTCCGGGTTAAGCTTGACGCCGTTTCGGGTCAAAGGGTGAAAGGAGGGGCTGTGGACCAAGTGTGATCATCGTGATGTTAATGCGGGCCAATATCGCCCCGGTGACTTAGTGGAGTTGGTTTTGTATTGTACACCGTGATTCTTTAATAATGAATTGTTGTTTGGTTTGTTTATTGAAATCTTCTGCAGGTTCGTCGGGAGCTACGGAGTACCGAGATGGGAGTATAGCAGTCCGGGCACCTGTCCCCTATACATGTAACTGACTCCTGTGTTCATGTACCGTATACCCTTCTCCTTCTCAATGAGTCTGTCCAAACATAAGTATTGCCTATTACTCAAATGTTGACTCGAACTATAAGTTATAAGTGTACACATCGTGGAACCCCGCACTACAGCTTTCCGCGAGTTAAAAACCGCACCGGCAGATCGACGTGGCGTGCTCGAAGGTATTCCGCCACATTCTTGCCTAAAAAGTCGACCGTGGTGGTCACGCCGACGCCTCGGTCCAGCAGGTTGCGGAACAAGAAATGCACGGCGTGCAGACTGGGCAACTCAAAGCGTTCAATGGTCAGGTCAGGCTGTTGGCGGCCCGTATCTCCTAGGAGCTCCTGCGCTGTGTCAACGGACAGCAACGCCCTCAACCATTGATACTCATCGCGGTGCCGCACCCAGAAGCCGCAGTTGGCATCAGCACCCTTGTCTCCCGAGCGGGCATGCACAATCCAGCCAAGGGGGCCGCGAGTCGTCGGCCCAAAGTCGCGGGCAAGGTCGACAGGGCCGTCAGTATCCGTGACTGGCTGTGATGGCTGGCGCGCTGGGTAGGTCTTGGTGTTGGGTGGAGGTGGAATGTCCAATGTTTGCCTGGATGCTGTCGGCTTCCAAGGCATGTGAACACGATGCTGGACCGCGGACTGCGGCATCAAGCTGACATAGTACTCGAAGACCGCACGGGGGAATCCCTGTCGCATGTCTAAGTGGAAGGTAGCGCCAGGATAGCCTTGCATGATGTTATCCGCAATCGGCTTAAGGAACCGACTGGGCACAATGTCCTCTGCGCGTCGTGCCTGCACGACAATGCGCAGGGGGACTGTGGCGCGGTTCTGGTCGTGCGGATCGGACAGGGCAGAGCCTAACAAGTCAAAGTTGAGAGAAGTGTACCGATCGGAAAAGGGCGCCAGTTGTTGACGGATCTGCACCTCCAGCATGCGTGCTTTGGCTTCGATATCCAGGCCAGTCAAGAACCACCATGCTTCAGCCTGGAACCCACCTCGTGCGGTGATACCGACCTTGGTGGTAGGCGGGGGAGGTCCAGACCGAACTCCAAGGACGGCGACCCTGTTGACGCCGCACTGCTCGAAATGAATGCCATCGAGAACCGCAGTGACATCGGAGTTGTAGTACCAGGGTCCTTGGATTTCATAGAGCAGCTGTGAAGTACAAGTGTCAACAGTGACCGCGCCACCGGTCGAATGTGCCTGCTTGGTGATCACAACGTCGCCTTCGGCAGATATCTCGGCGATGGGATATCCGATATTGGTCCAAGCATCTCCACCCGCTTGTTCTAGTGCTTTGAAGCCTGTAAAGTTGCCACCACAGACATAGTTGCTACATTCGATAAGATGACCCGCCACAAAGGCATTGGCTAACTTGTCAAGGTCCTCGCGCTGCCAGCCATGGTACCAATAGGCAGCTCCGATGACAGGTGAAGCATCAGAGACCCGCCCACAGAGCACGATGTCGGCACCATCTGCAAATGCGGCTGCAATCCCCAGGCCACCGAGGTAGCATTGGGCATAGATGGGCTCAAATGACCAATCTGCCAATCGCTCACCCGTGTAGACATTGCGAAATTCAGACCCAGAGGCCAGCCCTTTCTGGACGGTAGCCAAGACTTCATCTCCAGAGACCCATGCGACCTATATACAATTAGCGATTGTCCATCCCCATGGAGAGACCTGACCGACCTTCAAATCCAGATTCTTTGCCTGTACCATGCGCACCATTACCTCGTAGAGACCCTTTGTATCTGTCACTCCCGCATTGACTGCAAGCTTGATACCGTGTTTAGCCAAATCCTCCATGGCAGGCTCAACAGCCTCCAGGAACGAAAGATCATAAGCAGGCGCTGCAGCCCGCGAGCTCTGGTCCACGCGCCGACCCGCAGCGGTGGCCATATTGTACTCGCTCATGAAATCAGCAATGATCACATCGATAGGGTCAGTCGGGTGGTGACGCGCGAAATCAGCAATTGCTTTGCGCCGGTCCGATATGGAGCCCGAGGCACCTGGACGATTAGTTGAAGTACATCGAGGATAGCGGAGACGAACCTGCAATACGAATGGATCGACCCTTGGTCATTTTGTCTTGCAACTTGTTGAACAAGTAGAGATTGCAATTCGGATCAAAAAAAAAGGAAAAAAGGATGGCAGTCACACCGCATGCGGCCGAGGTGACCTTGGTCCTCGGCTTGGAATGCGGGGAACTATAATGAAGTACTCGGAGGAAACGAGAAAGAATATTTTCTGTAGGAATGAATAAGTAGGAATTAATAAGTAAATCAATAGGGAAAAAGGTACTGCGGATTATCATGTTACAAGCAAGTTCTGTTCGCCGCAACGGCATCAAAGTAAATCTCATGAATGCCACCCAAGTACTCAACAGTTTCTCCTCTAGCCTCAGTGATTGAGAAATTGATTTGTCTTTTCAGTGTAGATAACATATGAAAAATAAGTGAGCAAGTGATTTTTCAAGTAATTACTCCTATTAAATACAATTGGAAAGGTAATGGAAGAAACGCTACCTATGCTGCAGTGGGCTCCGGTAACTCCATACATGCAAAGCAAAAAGATCACTTTCGTCGTCGAGAGTTGGTACTCGGCATTTCTTCAAAGGCATCGTCGTCATCATCATCGTCATCATCAATACCATCGCTAAGAACACTCATGTTACGCGTTGAGCGGCTTGGTCTTGATGACTGAGGCACACTGGCCTGAGAACCGGAGAAGTTCAACGTACTCTGGGCCGTTTTAGCTCGCGCAGGAGCCCGACGAGAAGTACTTGCACCAACCGTCGCTGAAGACGGAGCTGGCGAAGCAGCAGCTCGTCCACGGCGCTGGGTCGTTGTCATTGGGGCAGCCTTCCGTGACTTGGTAGTAGTAGACTTGGGCTGCTTGACGAACAGCGCCTGCGAGTCATCATCGTCATCGGAAATAACATTGGCAGCGTCATCATCGTCATCATCATCAAGCATGATCACATCTGACTCCTCGTCCGAAACGACCTGCTTCTTGCGACCCTTCGTAGATGCGGGAGTTGCTTTGGGCTTCGTGGTACGCGCACTGGCTGCGGCACCCCGACCACGACCCCTGCCACGGCCACGAGCAGGCGCGGCTGCTGCACGACCACGAGCTGGGGCTGTGCCGTCTTCTCCGGCTTCTTCCTCGGCCGGGTCGCCGCCCTCGTTGTCAGAATGAATCAGTGCGCCAGGCTGATCCTCCCATACACCATCAAACTCGGTATCCCAGCCGTCCGGCTTGGGCTTGAACCGCTTCTTGCCTCGAGTTCGCTTTTTCACGCCCTTGGAGAACATGTTCTCCATTTGACTGCGGTATTTCTCCATGGCGGTGACCAATGAGCTTTGTTCCTGCTCCTGATCATCCGTGCCATCATCGTCGCGATCCAAGGAGAGCAAGTGTTTGACCTGACTCTCAAGGGACTCATTGACGAACATTTCCATTGCATGCTTGTCGTCCTTGTCGATGAACTGAGCAACAGCATCCCCGAAGGAATTCTGCGGCAGAATACTCAATGACTGCGAAGAAAGGAACTCGCGCACGAGCTGCTCGACTTTCACAGTATCAAGTGCTGCCAGATGAGAGACAGCAGCTTCATCAATCGAGGCATCACCCTTGCGCGAAGTGGATGCTGTCTTCTTCTTCCGGTAAAATTGCACCACGTCGTTTACGTTGGCTACCTTGCCCACAAACCGATTTGAAAATCGTTGTGGATTTTCACAATCATAGGTCCCTCCTTCCGGCGTGGATGTCTCGACACGTAGGCGGATGAGAGGAAGAGGAGCCTGGGGTGCATCTTCGCCATCGTCGTCCTCGTCGCGTTCGCCTTGCGCCTCAAGCCATTCAGCATTGGCTTCTTCAATCAACTCTTCCACAATGGACATAAGGAACCGTGTGACTTCCGTCCGATTGTTTTCTTTGCGAGCAAGCTTCTGTGCCTCCTTTTCCTCAGACATCACAATCTCGCGCATCACAAATGGCCGCACGGTCTTCAGCCGAATAGGCTCATTCTTAAACTCTCGGCCTGTAACGCTTAGAATCGAGACCTGTTTTGTCACGGCCTCGCCAGGCACTAAAGATGTAGCAACAGACGATCCAGGCTGCATGACATGGAACTTAGTCTCAGGATTGAGCTTAGGATCAATTAGGCATTCATGCTCGTGTCCCCAGACAACCAGGTCGAGGAACCCAGGGAGAAAATTTTCGGGTAAGTAGCTGGTCTCCGTATGCGCATGATGATTTTGGTGGACGGACATCAGAT